TTTATTTACTTACTTTGAGAGAGGGCCAGAGAGTGAGTGGGGAGGGGCAGAGAGACAGGGTGAGAGAGAATCCCAAGCAGAGGTTAGGTCAGTGTGGATCCCGATGTGGGGCTCAAATCCATGACCCTGGGATCATGACCTGAGCTGAAATCAAGAGCTAGACACTTAACTAAGTCACCCAGGTGCCCTAATTTACTTTATTATTTTTTCCTAAACTGTTAACATCTGATATTAGCAGATGACCAAATGAAGTTTCAAAGGACAAATACATAAAACAAGGAAAACAGGGATAAATTATTGTTCTTTAAAAAAAATTTTTAATGTTTATTCATTTTTGAGAGACAGAGAGACAGAACATGAGCAGGGGAGGGGCAGAAAGAGAGAGAGAGGGAGACACAGAATCAGAAGCAGGCACCAGGCTCTGAGCTGTTAGCACGGAGCCTGACGTGGGGCTCGATCCAATTTTAGTATATGTGCTGCCGAAGCGAGCACTGACGTGGGGCTCGAATTCATGAACCACGAGATCGTGACCTGAGCCTAAGTTGGATGCTCAACCAACTGAGCCATGCAGGCACCCCTAAATTATTGCCCTTATGTTTTAGGGAATGTATAGACTTTGATTGTACTTTCATGTTGTTGAGACGTCAGACAACCCCATCTTGGCAATGACTGTGGTTCTAACTCTAGGTCATGATTTCCTCTACTGCTATATCTGAAACACTCATTGAGTACTCACTGTATGTTCTATATGTGTCATCGCATTCGATCTGTGAGGGGTGTGATAGCATCCTCACAATACAGGAGAGGAAACTGATGTTTAGAGGGAGGTTAAGGACAGTCTGTAAGGTCAAATGGCTAGTGTAGTGACTGTGGTAACTTGCACCCTTCTTCTGGTGAGAGTTCCTTGACTACAGAGCTGGGAACCTGACCCACACTGGCCCGTCATAGCACCCTGACTCCCTGGACACTGGGATTGGGTCATGGCTAAGTGTGTGAACCAAGCAGGGCCCATCAGGGCTCTTCCTGGGATGGGCCCTGGGCTTACAAGGCGGGGACAGGCTGTGGCCACATTCCTTGCTCCTGCCGTGGTAAGAATAAAGCCAACATGCAAAGAGATGAACAGTGATGAGAGAAGGATGGATGGGTGGATGGCGTTGGGTCCCCTGTTCTAGCCCCAAGGCTGTGGTTCATGGATCCTCTGAATTATCTCAGTGACATCACCAGTTATGTAACACAGTATATTCTCGTTTTTGCTTCATTGAGCTTGCATTGAGCTGCTGTCTTTTACAGCTGGAAGACTGACTGATAGAATGATAACGTGGTGAGGTCAAGGTGAAAACCCAGAGTCCAGCGTCTTCTCTGCTGCCACCATTTCCTAGCATTACACACTGATCTCTTAAAACGTCTCTCTTTTAACCACATCCTCGCGAGCAACACTCTATAATTTTTAAAATCACTGTTCACCTTCCTGAGTCAGCGTTCTTTTTTTGGAACTGCCTTGTTCCCTTTCTGAGATTTGAGAAGTTCCTGGGTTTATCAGAACACGTGTTTCACGTTGGGTGTTTCCGGGAATATTGTTAATCTTTCCGCTTTCTGCTGATTCCTGCCGGCACCAGTCTTACCAAGTGACGTCTTCCATCCTCAGAACCGCCGTTCTGGCAAACGGTAGAACTCTGCCAGCCCAGGCCTGGGTGCTTGCCGGGAGCAGCTGGCCTCCAGGCTGGGCGAGGCCGTGAGGGAGCTGCAGGCAGGGCTGGGAGGGGGTGAAGAGTGTCTGGCTCCTGAGTCAGACACCAGACCTCAGGAGCCACAGGCCTCTGTACACGGACTCTGTACAGAGCTGTGGGGAGGGGAGGCCGGTCCCCAAACCCGAGGCCCAGCAGTGCAGGCGGCTGTCCGCTTTCTTCACGAGGAGGACGTGGATGCTGGTGGAGGTTGTTTGTTCCTGGCCAGAGGCCCTGAGGAGTGGGCCTAGTTAATGGCGTGTTCCTCTCCTGCTTCCTGAACCGACCTTCCCCGCCTTATCACAGAGCAGATGCCCAGCGGCACTGCCCCGGGGGCTGGGCTCCCCAGGGAGGTGAGGAGGCTGCAGGCGGCTGGTTGAGAAAGCTGGAGCAGCCTTGGCCCGGCCCGACTCTCACTTCTTCCTTGTTGATGGGGGGGGGGGGGAACGGAGGGCTCCTCCCTGCTGGAAGCCCCTCTGGGGAGTGGGGAGGTAGATTGTCTCTTCCCCAAAGCACTGGCCTGGGCCAGGAGGAGGCATCTGGTGACAGTGGACAGAGTTGGGTGGGTACAATGGTAGCAAGTTGGCTTCTAGGAGGTTCGGGGTGGGGATGGACCCCCGTCTGGAAATGTGGTATTGAAGGGAAGGAGGACAATGGCAACGGGGGACAGCACTGGCCACTCGCCAGACATCTGCTTTGCATCAGACACTGGGGACCCTGGGAATGAACGCTACTCATTCTACTGCTCAGCAGCCCAGGCTAGTGGGGAGACATAAAGAAACAGTCTCATAAAAGTTGCTGTTACGGGGAAGGGGGCTGGAAGACATTAGGAAGAACCCCTAAAACCTGTGTGTGCATGCGCTCTTGCACGTGGGCAGGCTGGGGAGCAGATTCGGGTGCTGCACAGAGGAGGTGATCTTTGAGTTGAGCACCGGGGGAGATTAGGAAGTCGACAGGGTACAAACCAAGAGAATGAATGGCTGAGGTAAGAGCCCTGAGGCACGGGAGCCCGTGGCCTGTACATCAGCGCTGTACAGCGATGCCCTGGAAGGCGTGTCATGCTTGGTGACCTTCTCCTCAGAGTTATAAGACATCACTATGGTTTCACCTGAGGAGTGACATGCCCAGATTTGAATGCAAGAAGATCAGCCTGGCAGAGCTGGGAAGGGGTCAGAGTGGGGGCAGGGGCAGGGCGGGAGGGCAGTTCCGCTGCGGCTACCGCCGCGCAGGAGCGCAGGGACGCGGCAGCAGCTCAGGCAGTGTGACTGACACGAGTGACACTGAGAAGGCAGGTGGCCTGACCACCACCTGGAGGGCAGTGCGGAGGAAGCAGGAGGCTAGGAGGGCAGCCAGGTTTGTGGCAAAGAGGGGTCCTAAGGGAGGTGCGAGGTCCGGGGAAGGTTTCTTTTAAGCTTGCTTAAAATAGAGGCCGAGTGCAATTGGAGGCAAGAGGAAGAGGGGGTGGTTGGGGGTGCCAGACCGGAGCCGGTGCAGGACAGGGGCCCCTGGGCTCTGTGAGGCTGAGAAGTGAGCCCATGAGGCCGGGGGTGGGTGTGGGGAGAGGAGGGCAGAGAGACCGAGGGTGGTCTGAATTGGAAGGCTAGAGCTCTCAGGATTCTTAATGACTGGGGATTATAGAGGAAGTACCATGGTGATGACCTGTGTTTATGCCATATCTTGTTAATTGTGTGAACTTGGGCAAACTTCCCTGAGCCTCCATTTCCTTTGCTGTAAAGTGGGGTGAGATTGTACCAACTTCCTGGGATTGTGGTGTAAATTAAATGGACTACTACACAGAGATCGCCTTGCGCACCTTGCTCCATAAGGTCAGCCCTCACCCCTGCAGCACTGGAAAAGCAGGAGCTCATTGCATGATGGTGTCATCAGGTAAGCAGGGGGTAGTTACACAAATGATTCAATGCAGTTTGCTATGAGAAAATATTTCAAAGCATATTTTGGGGGATAGAGGAATGTTAGGGATGTTTGTGGTGAAACGGTGGAGGCTCCAAGTCGCGGTGGGCCTGGTGGGGGTCTGGTGGCGGGCCCATGGCCCCACAGCCGACCCTGCAGCCATTTCTCTTTCTGCCAAACTGCCCTGGGGAAAGGGGTGTGTGGGCAGAGCTGGGCAGTGTCCAGCCCGTCACTTAAGGCTCCCATGTCAGAAGTCCGCCTGCTCACTAGGGACTGTCCAGGAAACACCTTCTAAGTCAGGCAGGTGTGAGGGTGTGGGCGTGGGAAGGCTCCTTGGAGGTGAGTCAGCACTGCCTCCTCCTGGGTGAATCAGGGGCAGGGCAGGTCCAGGGCTGGGGAGCGGGTGGGATGAAAGGCTGGGCGAGGAGCGGGGAGGGACCAACCTGCAATGACAGGTCTCAACCACCAGGGGGCAGGAGCCAGGAGGGGAAAGCCAGCCACCCCGGGCGGGTCGCCTGCGGCTGCGTGGCCGCGAGGACCGGGACCCTGGGTCCAGCATCTGAGGCTGAGACGTGCAGAGTCACTGCCAGGGACGTGCCCACGGCCCGGTGGTGCCCACGGCCCGGCTGTGCCCACGGCCCGGTGGCGCCCGGCTTCTCCGCCTTCCGGAAGGCGTGTGGACCGGGGTTGGACGCTGGGGCCGTTCTGTTCCACCTTTCCGTTCCGCTGACAGGGGAGGGAGTCGCTCAGGTGACACTGAGTTGGTGCAAATTGATGGCCAGGCTCAGAAACACAGCCGCTTCCAGGCCCCGTCCCGTCCCGCCGGGGGCGAGCCGGCTGCCCCTCAGGGGCTGTGGCTCCCGGGTCTGCAGGGTGTGGGTTTGGAGCAGAAACGGATGCCGTGTTGGGAGGAGAGAACGTCCCTTGACTCCTACCCCCCCCCCCCCTTCAGTAACCCGGACTCGGGTTGGGTGTGGACGGTGTGGGCGAGACCCTTCGTCCTGCCCGGGAGCTCACCGCGTGGGCCGAGGGCGGGAGCGGGCAAGCTCTCCGGTGACTCACCCGCGCCGCTCGGTGCGCGGACGAAGGGCTGGTTGTGGGGCTCAGAGCGGGCTGGGCCCGGTGCCTCCGCGAAGCAGGTGGCATCCAGCCAGACTTTGGAGGGTAGTTGGGGCTTCACCAGAAAGAGATGTGGGGGCAGGGGAGGCGGTGACGGGCAGGCGGGTGGGGGCACCTCGCTGCCAGGCCTTGTGAAGGCGCCGCGGGCACCACTGCCACACCTGAGCCCTACGTGAGCCGTTGCCTCCGCTGGGCCTTCCGCTCAGGGTGAAGAGTGTTCAATCTCGGGCTCTGCGTGAAGCGGGGCCGTAGGGTCCGGCGGGGAGGAGCAGCAGCATGAGGGGCCCAAGTGCCTCGGAAAGGAGGGGCCGCTGGCTGGCTGTGCGGACCCGGGGGCTCCGAGGCCTGGCCGCCCGGGCCCCAGGGTGACCCCGGGAGGAAGGCACCCTGGCTTCCCTCTGGCCCCTTGGTCCCAGCCCCTCTGTGGCGTGCGACTCAGAGCTCCAGGCTGGGCCGCACACAGGGCCTCCGCGGCAGCGCCCTCTCCTCTCGGGCTGGGCTGGGGTTTCCGCCTGCGGCCCCGGCCTCCCGGGAGCAGGCTGGTGCCGCTGAGTCACCGCCTGGGCATCTGGGGCTGCAAGGGCGGGTGAGTCACCTAGGACCAGGGGCGCTGGGGGAGGGGAAGGAGGCTTCGGGACATCTGGAGGGGGGAGGGGAGCTGGGCCGGCAGGAAGGGTGGTGCCCAGACGGGTGGGGGCGGAGGGGGGCGTGGGAGTGGGCAGCAAGAACGGGCTCTTCCCGGAGAGCCGCTCCCCTGGGCTGGGCCCTGCCCGGCCTCGCAGTGTTTGCCTCTCTCTGGGTGTGGGGAGGAGTCTGTAGGGACGGGGGGGCGGGGAGGAGGGGGGAGGGCAAGGCCCTGGCCCGCCGCACGCCCCTCCTCACTCACGCGCCCTCCAAGCTGGAGAAGGGCGCCAAGACTCCCCTTCTCCCTTTCAAACCCGCAGGGGCTTCCTCACTGTGCACACAGTGCACACAGTCTCCCTGCCTCCCTGCCTCCTTCCGGAAGCCTTCCGCCCAAAGGGGGCCTTTCAAGGTGTGTTCAGGCCATGCTTCCCTCATTACCTCAGCAAGAATTGTGCTGCCAGCTCTGAAGTTCCCCCTGGTCCGTAAAGTCAGCTCGGACACACGCACGTGTGCATGCATGCACGCGCGCGCGCGCGCACACACACACACACACACACACACACACCAGGTCTGGGAAGTCCCTGGGTGCCTGTAGCCTCTGACTCACACATGAGCTGTGACTCGCAGGCATGTGTCAGAAGAGCAAGGCTGGCATGAATCTCTAGGCCCACAAACAGGGGCTACACGCCCCTCCCCGGGGTCCTGGCGGCCCCTTCCCCATGAGCCTCCCTGCCCCCTCTGTGGCCTAGAAGGGGCCTCGTCTTCTGACTGGCAGGCTGGCATGAAGCTGGCAGTCTCTGGGAGGGAGGGGGCCAGTCGGGAGTGGGTGGGGGGTGGCGGGAGGCCAGGCTTTGGCGGGGATCAGGTTAGGACAGGTTGGGGGCCAGTGAGGCGGGCATATAAACCCCACTGTGGGCACCTGGCCCTCAGCTTTCCTTCCAGAGCCTCTCTGCCATCTGGTCTGGTGAGTGTGTCTGTCCTGCTGAGGGCTGGTTGGGGGGCCCCCCACGTCTCCACCTTGTTCCTTTGTCTTAATCTTTGTCTCCGTAGCTGTTTTTCTCATTCTGGGTCTCTCCCTGTGGGCGACCTTCTGTGAAGTGTCTGATTAAGGACTCTTTCCAGGTTCTCTGTGAGGTCTCATTTAGGGGTTACTCTGCGGCCTTCTCTGGGGTCTCACAGTTTAGGCATCTCAGTCTGGAGACCCTTCCTTCTCAGGGGCCTAGGCCTAGGAATATGACGTGTGTGTGTGGGTGCTTTAATGAGAGTCTTGAATTTGTTGTTTGGTTTTTTGTTTTTGCAAAGTCCTGGATTCTAGCAAGACTAAGGGACAAGAGCCAGGATCTCAAGTGCGTGGGCTGCCTGGCTCCCTGCCCTGAGGAGCTTCGTAGCTCTGCCCTCTGCTCTTTCCCATTTCCTCTGCCTTGAGAGCTGGCAGGATGGGCCTAGGCCTGTCCTTGCCCCTGACACCAGCTACTGCGTCCTCACCCCAGGATCCACACCCCCACACCCTCACCCCAGCCTCCTGGGGCTGCTCAGAGCATCCTCAGAGGCAGAGCCTTGGAAAAGATGACCTCTCAGTTCTGTCCTTGTGACCTCGGGCACAGGACATATAATTTATTTAATTCCAGTCCCAATAGGACCCTTCCTGGATCCATGTCTGATAGAGACAGCACCCCCCCCCCATCCCTACCCTCTGAGAGTCCCTTGTCCAGTGGAGGAAGTCTCGCTCCCCCCGCCTTAGGAGTCCCTTGTCTCCGGGTGGGGAGTGGGGGACCGGGAATGGTTCCTCAGGGAAGCTTATACCCTGGGTTGCAGCCATGGCTACTGCTGGAGCCCAGGGGGCCCCCACTCCCTGGCCCCTGGAGACACCACCTCCCCAGTGCTGGCCTGTGGAAGGGGCTCCTTGGAGAAGACCCCAAGTGGGACTCTGGCCACCTTGCCATTTCCCTTTCCACAGACAGAGTGGGGAGCCTGCCCTCAGGTGCGTGCCGCAAGTGTGACCTCGGGACACATGGGGTCCTGGCCTTGGTGACTTCCAAACACAGGGGAAGGGTTAGCATCTGTCCACAGTAGGCCCTGTCCAGGAAGGCACTGTCTCGGGGGGGGATGCGGAGAGGGATTTGGAGAGGCAGTTTAGGGCACAAAGGCAGGTAGGTCTTTCTGACTGGGCTGAAGGGTCTCCATCGCCTGCCATCCCTATGGCCCCAGATCCATGATGTCCAGTCCCCTGGAGCAGGCGCTGGCTGTGATGGTCGCCACCTTCCACAAGTACTCAGGCCAAGAGGGTGACAAGTTCAAGCTGAGTAAGGGGGAGATGAAGGCACTTCTGCAACAGGAGCTGCCCAGCTTTGTTGGGGTGAGTGGGGCTGGCTGGTGGGAGGGTCCTGGTGTGGGCACGCGGGGGTGCCTGCTGATGCAAACACAGGGCACAGCCTCACAGAGGGGGTGAGGCCCAAGTGTGAGTGCCCTGTCACTGCTGTCCCCGAGGCTGTGCAGAGAATGGATGTGCGTGCTGTCCGGGCCCTCAGCGTCCATCTGTCCAGTCCCCTCACTGAGTTGAGCAAACCAGAGCCCAGAGAGGGGAAATGACTGGCCCAAGAGCACACAGCTCTCTCGCTCTTAGTTCCCATATTACGTTCCAAACTAAGAAGGTGTAATAGGGACAGAAAAGCCCAGCTAACACATGTACCCTGGGACATTTTGCAGAAAAATGCAGTCAGCTTTCGCTTGGCCCCTCACCTGTCCCATAGTGACGTCTGGATAATTACAGTCAGGTCTCAGGCTTGGAACATGTGATTCATGTTCTTTTTTTCCTTTAAAATTTGTTTTTGGTTAAACTTTTCTAATTTTGTTTCATTTTCACTGGTATTGAAAAGTTTGCCTTTTCTGAATTCAGAAATTTTTAGTTTCTTCATCAGCAAAATGGGGTTGCAGCCATGGCTACTGCCGCCTACCTCTCGGGGCTCAGGAAGTCCCGGTGTGCTCCTCAGCCCCAGCAGTGAGAGCGGAGACCTTCCCCAGTGGACGTCTACCTGTCCTCACTCACAGGGCCCCTTTGCAGCTCCCAGGGGCTCCCTGCTTGCACTTACCTGCTGCCCAGTGCAGGGCGGGGACTGGGCTCTGGCCAGCAAGTGTGAGTTTGGTGTGGGGGTGGGTGCAGAGCAGCCTGCTGAGGCGTCTCCTCTTGCTTTCAGGACAAGGTGGATGAGGACGGCCTGAAGAAGCTGATGGGCGACCTGGATGAGAACAGTGACCAGCAGGTGGACTTCCAGGAGTACGCCGTTTTCCTGGCCCTCGTCACTGTCATGTGCAATGACTTCTTCCAGGGCTCCCCAGGCCGGCCCTGAAGCAGAGCTCTCACTCTGCCGTTGGCCTGCTGGACCCATGAGGACTCTGCTTACCCCTTTTGTACTCAATAAACTTTTCTGTTGATCAGATTTCAGTGGCTCTGTGGTGCCCTATACCCTGGATGGCTCAGCTGGGGTGCTGGAAAACGAGGGCCTCCTTAGATCCCACCCGCTCTGGACCCTGACCCTTCTGGAAATCTCACCAAGGCCAGAGCTGTGCCTTATGTTCCAGACGTTGGGATTGCAAACACTGGTAAAAATTGGAGATAGTTTGCTAATTTTTCCCCCCAAATGAAGATATTAAAAGGGGCAAATACCATCTACCTTCACTGTCATTTCATGAAAAGAAAATTCCAACAAAGAAGGAAGGATATAATCTCAGGACAAAGGACAGGCCTTGACATTTGATATTGTGAGCAATCAGTTGTACTGGTTTAAGTTAGTCTCACCCACCTAGCAGACTTTGCACTGAGGACTTCTGTCAGGTTGCAGGCTGCAGGCAGTGGCCCTGTTTTAGCAAAGCTGTATTTCTTTTAATATCTGCTCTTAGATTGGCTCTAGTTTGAGTTTATTCTGCTTCTGTTTGTCTCTACTGAAAACTACCAGGTGCTACTTCATGTCAACATCCTGGTTCTTTTCTGCCATTTTCCCTAAACTTGTAGCAAGCTTGCGGTCTCTGCACACTATGGTGCATTCAGGCGACAGCCTGACCAAGTGCTTTGCCACCTGCTAACAAGGTGACTTTTCAGCGAGCAAAGGTGAGGTCCTCATATTTTATTCTTTCCTTTCTTCAACTAATTACACATGTTAGGTTCTCTTTCTCTCTCTCTTTTTAGTGGATCCCATTTCTAGTTACCAAATTCTCTACCAGTTACGACTGTATTCAGTTGTGAGGCGTAGGAAATCCGACTAACAATGGCATAAAGAAATTGTTATTTAAGTACCTTATAAAATGAGTCTGAGATACAAAATTCACATTTGGTTTGATGACTCAGAGATGCTGTTCTGGTTCCCTATTGCTGCATTACATACCACCAATACCCGGTAAATTAAAACAGATTTATGATCTCTCAAGGTTCTATAAGTAGACTGTAATCTGTTGATGGGGTTCTCATTTGGGATCTCTCATGCAGCTGCAGACAGATGTTGGGGCTGGAGTCATCAGAAATTTCAGATTAATTCTGTTTCCAAGGTAGCTCACTCAGGCATTTGGTGCCACGTGTTGGCTGGGAGTTCAGCTGGAATGCCTACCTGTGACTTCTCTATGTAGCTCAGGCTTCTCAGAAACACGGCAGTGAGGTTCTGAGAGGAAGTATCCCTAAAGTGAGCAGCCCAAGAGGCCCCAGTAGGGGCTATGAGGCTTTTTACGATTTATCTCAGAAATCCAAGAACATCACTTCTGCTGCAGTCTATTGATTAAGTAAGTCATTAGGCTGGTCCAGATTCAAGAAGAGAACTAGGCTCCATCTTTTCACGTGAGGAGCAGTAGCATGAAGCGGACAGTGGCCATCTCTGGAGACTGTATACCATAGTCTGACTTCTAGCAACCATGTGCAAAATGCAGTCCCCTCATTCCCAAGACCCACAGAGTCTCATCTCATTAAGGCATCAGTGTGAGGCCCACGGTCTTGCGATCCATGTCAGATCTGAATCTGGATGTCATCCCTGCAGTGCACCTCAGCAAGAGTGGTTCTCTTTGACTTGAAGATCTATGAACAGATTAAATGCACAAAGGTGAGACAAGTAATTAATACTCCTACTCAAAAGGGGTGGTTGGTGGTAGATTGAAGGCACAAAAACACCATTGGTCAATAGCAATTCTGAAATTGAGTCAGACACATGCCACCAGATTCCTGACTAATGTCCAGTTCTACTTCCTATAAGTGGCTCTTCTTGGGTCCACTCTCTAGGCTCTTAGTTTCAATTGCTTTAACTCTTTACTTTCCGTACACAATGTCTATGTTTGTAGCTTAGTGGCTTTCTCAGCTGCCTTCTGCCCAAAGCAACTGGATGACTCAAAGCTTCTTTTGTTTGAATTGTCTCTGTCCCTTTCAGTCCAAGATTAGGTAATTCCTTTAAACATGTTGTGGACTTGGGGCACCTGGGTGGCTCAGTCAGGTAAGCCTCTGACTTTGGTTCAGGTCATGATCTCACAGTTCATGGGTTCGAGCACCTGATGGGGCTCTGTGCTGACAGCTTAGAGCCTGGAGCCTGCTTCAGATTCTGTCTCCCACTCTCTTTGTCCGCCCCCCCCCCCCGACTCATGCTTGGTCTCTCTCTCTCTCTCTCTCTCTCTCTCTCAAAAATAAATTAAAAAAACACTTAAAAGAAAAAAAAGAAAAAATGTTGTGGTCTTCCTGCGTATCAACTTACAATTCACTTAATTAGACAAAAGCCACACTTAACAAATCTCTGAGATTGGTGCCTCCCTACCCTACACTGAGGAACAGGGAGCTGGGAGAAAGGCCCTCTTGTCTGAAAGGGTCTAAGAGGCACACTTCTTATTTATTTTAATTTAGTTTAATTTAATTTAATTTAAAATATAATTTATTGTCAAGTTAGCTTACATACAGTGTATTCAGTTTGCTTTTAGCTTCTGGAGTAAATTCCCATGATTCATTGCTTACATACAACACCCAGTGCTCATCCCAACAAGCGCCCTCCTCAATGCCCATCACCCATTTTTCTCTCTCCCTTGTACCCCTCCACCAACCTCAGTTTGTTCTCTGTATTTAAGAGTCTCTTATGGTTTGCCTCCCTCTCTGTTTGAAACTATTTTTTCCCCTGCGCATGGTCTTTTGTTAAGTCTCTCAAGTTCCACATATGAGTGAAAACATATGACAGCTGTCTTTCTCTGCCTGACTTATCTCACTTAGCATAATGCCCTCCAGTTCCATCCGTGTTGTTGCAAATGACAAGATTTAATTCTTTCTCATTAAAGCGGTTGTATATATAAACCACATCTTTATCCATTCATCAGCTGATGGATATTTAGGTTCTTTCCATAATATGGCTCTTGCTGAGAGTGCTGCTATAAACACTGGGGGTACCTGTGCCCCTAGGCATCAGCACTCCTGTAACGTTCGGATAAATTCCTCGTACTGCTATTGCTGGGTCATAGGGGAGTTCTATTTTTAATTTTTTGAGGAACCTTCACACTATTTTCCAGACCTGCTGTACCAGTTTGCATTCCCACCAACAGTGCAAGAGGCTTCCCATTTCTCCACATCTTCGCTAGTATCTTTTTTCCCCTGAGTAGTTTTAGCCATTCTGACTGGTGTGAGGTGGTATCTCAATGTGGTTTTGATTTGTAATTTCCCTATGATGAGCCATATTGAGCATCTTTTCATGTGTCTGTTGGCCATTTGGAGGTCTTCTTTGGAAAAGTGTCTCTTCATGTCTTCTGCCCCTTTCTTCACTGGGTTATTAATTAATTTATTGTTGTTTGTTTTTAGTTTGGTAAGTTCTTTATAGATTTTGGATACTAACCCTTTATCTGATATGTCATTTGCAAATATCATCTCCCATTCCTTCTGTTGCCTTTTAGTTTTGTTGATTATTTCCTCTGTTGTGCAGAAATTTTTATCTTGATGAGGTCCCACTAGTTAATTTTTACTTTTATTTCCCTTGCCTTCAGAGATATGTCAAGTAAGAAGGTCCTGCAGCTGAGGTCAAAGAGGTTGTTGCCTGTTTTCTCCTCTAGGGTTTTGATAGTTTCCTGTCTCACATTTAGTTCTTTGATCATTTTGAGCTTATTTTTGTGTATGGTGTAAGAAAGTGGTCTAGTTTTATTTTTCTGCATCTTGCTTTCCAGTTCTCCCAGCACCATTTGCTGAAGAGACTGTCTTTTTTCCATTGGATACTCTTTCCTGCTTTGTCCAAAGATTAGTTGACCATACATTTGTGGGTCCAATCCTGGATTCCCTATTCTATTCCATTAGTCTATGTGTCTGTTTTTGTGCCAATACCATTCTGTCTTGATGATGACAGCTTTGTAGTAGAGGCTAAAGTCCAGGATTGTGATGCCTCCTGCTTTGGCTTTCTTTTTCAACATTATTTTCACTATTTGGGGTCTTTTGTGCTTTCATACAAATTTTAGGATTGTTCCAGTTCTGAGAAGAATGCTGGTGCAATTTTGATCGGAATTGCTTTGGACAGTATTGATATTTAAAAAAAATTTTTAAGTGATTTTATTTATTTCTGAGAGGGAGGGAGAGAGAGAGAGAGAGAGAGAGAGAAAGAGAGAGAGAGAGAGTAAGCAGGGGAGGGTCAGAGAGAGAGGGAGATACAGAATCTGAAACAGGCTCCAGGCTCTGAGCTGTCAACACAGAGCCCGACGCGAGGCTCGAACTCACAAACTGTGAGATCGTGACCTGAACCGAAGCTGGATGCTTAACCGACTGAGTCACCAGGCGCCCCAGTATTGACATTTTAACAATATTTGTTCTTCTAATCCATGAGCATAGAATGTTTTCCCATTGCTTTGTGTCTTCTTCGATTTCTTTCATAAGTTTTCGATGGTTTTCAGCATATAGATCTTTTACATCTTTGGTCAGGTTTTTCATAGGTATTTTATGGTTCTTGGTGCAATAGTAAATGGGATAGATTTCTTGATTTCTCTTTCTGTTGCTTCATTATTGGTGTGTAGACATGCAACCGATTTCTGTACATTGATTTTGTATCCTGTGACTTTACTGAATTCATGTATCAGTTCCAGCAGTTTTTTGGTGGAGTCTTTTGGGTTTTCCATGTAGAGTATCATGTCATCTGTGAAAAGTGAAAGTTTGATTTCTTCTTTGCCAATTTGGATGCCGTTTATTTCCTTTTGTTGTCTGATGGCTGAGGCTAGGACTTCCAGCACTATGTTTAACAGCAGTGGTGAGAGTGGACATCCCTGTCGTGTTCCTGATCTCAGCGGGGAAGCTCTCACATTTTCCCCATTGAGGATGATATTAGCTGTGGAGTTTTCATATATGGCTTTTATAATGTTAAGGTGTGTTCCTTCTATCCCAACTTTCTTGAGGGTTTTTATTAAGAAAGAGTGCTGGGGTCACCTGGATGGCTCAGTCGGTTAAGTGTCCGACTTCG